GAGTTGACGGCACCCTGACCTTGTACTATTCCCAATGTCAAGGCAGAAGGTGTAGGAAAAGGATCCTGGATCCAGGGCCAAATCTATGAAAAGGCTGGTGTCTGTGTTGTTCTTATCTCTGAAAACAAGAGCATTGTCATCATCTCTTTCTATTTGCCTCTGATTATTTCACTAGAACAAACCTGATCTCCAACAATCCCTGTCCCTAATCTTCCTCATGATAGAGAGTGTGGCTTCCTGCTTCTTGGTATAGCTAGGTAGCTTGTTCCAAGTCAATTCAACACTGAGTTGGTTTTTTATTGTGAAAATACCATACAGAGGGGTTACAATTAGATGGGCAAGGTAATGAGTGCATTTCTTACCAAGCATTGTTGCCTCCTCCTTGGTTTCCCCTTAACTGGCATCCCAAGGTCTCTGCTTAAGACAGGCGCACCCCTCCACCCCTCACAAAGTCCTGTGCCTGTCTAGTGAGGTACTGGGAGTCAACAAGCTTTGAAAAATGTTTAAAACATGTAGGTTAATATAATTAATTATGCTTAGAAGAGGAACACAAAGACAAAACCACTATGTACATCCGGTCGTATAAAGTAATATTTATCGAAATGAACTCCAGGAAATGGAAACAAGAGTTTTTTTTCCTTTGTTGCTGTTTTATTTTTTCCCTTTTATCTTATTTGTTCTTTACTGGTCTTTAGCAGGGCAAGTGGGGGCACAGAAAAGGAGGGACAAAGGGTGAACAAACACAGCAGTGTCTCATGAGACACTGCCTTGAACATGAACTATATACCCTGTCTTGGGGTCCAGGGGAAAAACTGGGGGAGCCAGGGGTAGGAGGGGTGGCATTCTTCAAAAATAAATGTACTCATCACCTGACGTACATAACAGTGACCCCTCATCATCTCTACAAAACAATAAAAATGCAAAAAATATATACACATATATAATGTAATTTACGTGATTGGAATCCAAATCCACCCCAGCCTTTTACAAATTGTCTAATTTGTAGTAGCTGATCCACAGTTTCACATCTCGCTTTTGCATAGTTAATGATGTATGATAAACTCATCTATTGAACGTCTTCAGTTTGGATTTCTAACGCTGAGGTTGGACTAAAGTTTAAAATGTGTATTAATATCAACGGCATGATCTTACAAGATTTGAAAAGATTTGATTCAACAAACTTAGAGTTAAGTGGCATTTGGCCCAGCCAGCCTGTCTTTTGAAGATGGTTCTCTGAGGCCCTGGGGATCTTGCTTGCAGTAGGCGGCTCTCTTTGACTCTGTCTCCATTGAAAAGGCTTCAGTGTTCACAGCACTCAGTTGCTGACGGTAGGGAGGTATGGGGCTGTGGTTTGCATGTGCAGAACCTGTTTGTCACCATGGCTTTCCTGGTACCCAGCCCCTCATTGCCGACGCCAGCTCTTTTTTGATCTCCCGCCGCCCTGAGCTTCTGCAGTCTTTCAGGCTGGGAATTCCAATGGAGTATGGTTTCTTTAGTGAGTGATTTGTCATGATCTTTGAGAAGATCCAGAAGGTTCTAATGTAACTTGGGGGGGCACCTCCAAATTCTTTCACTCTTTACAACCACTCCATTTGGAAAAACAAACCAGCAAACCAACAGACAAGGCATAATATACATCACCATTTTTTCAAGCCTTGGTGTGGTGATTTCTGTCTGGCCTGAGGGTGTGGCATGTTAAAGGGAAGGGGGCTGCCTGCCTCCCTCAGACACGAGCCAGCCGTGCCATGCAGGAGCCGCCAGACAGAGCGCAGCCGTATCACTTGACAAAAGGTGGCAGCCGCCCGGCCGGCGATAGCAGGAAGGAAAACATGGCGGCAGAATGCGGAGCGCTGCGGGCTGGTGATCAGGCACAGAAGTGTGGCTCCGAGGTGGGTTGTAGAGACAGCACGCGGGCCGCCCTCTAGCTGAACACTACCCCAGCATAGGGTACAGAGCCTCCAGCCACGGGCTTGAAGGAAACGGAGATCTCAAAAAGGTGGACACTCATATATCTGTGTTCATGTGTCCATGTCTATATGTTCGTGACTATATTCCGTGTTTCTGTATGTAGAGGGCAAGGGAGAGGGTTTATAAATCTTACCATTGGCTGGCTTTCCCCATCTTGATACGCAGTCCGGTGGCACTCACGTGTCCACTCCATGGCGCGTTTTCACAGATGTTTTGTGGGCTCGGCCAGAGCGTCTGTACCCTGTCAGCAGCCGCCGCCCTGCATTTTTCTCCCCACGAACTCTGACAGACAGCCACCACCGTCTCTTCTGGCTGCGTGAATCGTTTCCTTTGCCATTCTTCCTGAGTGTACTCAGGTGTGGTTGGGTCTCGATGTGCACTTACTTAATCCCGTGCATTACTGTGGTTCATTAGGAATGGTCCTGGCTTCTGGTCTTCCAGGAAGCTCTACACGTGGAGTGGTTTGAACAACAGCAATGTCCTCCTCACCACCTGGCAGTGGGAGTCTGAGAGGCGGCAGGCGGGTTTGACCTCCCAAAATGGTGGAAGGCTCTTGGCCTGACTCTCCACCTGCTCTCCCCGTGAGCCCCTCCCGTCACAGGTAACGGCCGTACTAGACTGCAAGGCCTTCAGTGTAGGTTAAAGATCACCTCAAAGAACCAACGTGTGAATGCAGCCACACTGCTCATAACTGGCGTGAGTGAGTGGGGCCCAGGTCAGCCTGGGGGAGCTGGTCCCCTCCTTTGAAGGAACTCTCCCTGCCTGTCCACCTGTCCCGAATTCTCACCGTTCCCCCTCTCATCCTCCTGTATTGTCTTCCTTCCTCACTTGGACCGTGTGTTTTCTGAATGACACGTTTTGATGTCTCTTCTCTTTTATGCACATTGCATAGATTCTTTTTATGGTTACCATGGAAATTTCTTATAACATCCCAAGATTATGAAACCATTTTCACTCCATACAGAAGTAAGTTTCATGGTATTCACATCTGCTCTCCCATGTTATACCATGGATTTCATAAATTGTGTCTTTATAAAATTACATCTCTATTGTATATTTATAATTACTATATATATATATCTTTTAAATGCTGCAGAAAATAAAAGTGAAATTGCAAATAAAATACCAGTATTTAAAGGATACTGCCATGCATTTCTCTTTCCTGGAGAACTTTTTATTTTCATCTTGTTTCTAGTTATTGTGTAGTGTCCTTTTGTTTCAACTTGAAGGATTTCCCCTAGAATGGTTTGGTTGATCATGAATGCCCTCATCTGTTGTTTATCTGAAAATGTCTTAAAGAGTTCTGACTTGTGAGGGGCAGCTTTGCTGGATGCAAAGTTCTGGGTTGCCAGTACTTCCTCTCAGCATTTCAGTAATCACCCCATAGCCTTCCAACAGCCAAGCTGCTGCTGAGAAGTCGGCAGATACCCTTATTAGCAATTTCTAGTTTGTGATAAGTTAGCTTTCTCTTTCAGCCTTCAAGATCCTTGATTTACTTTTTTGCAGTTCAGTTATGTAACAGGGTGTCCTAATATGAATCTCTTCTCTTGTATCCTTCTTAGTATGAGTTCACTGAGCTCCTCCACCTTGCTATATCTTGTTAGCTACAAGTAATAGAACCTCTTGTTCCAATGGGTTTCAACTAAGGTAGATTTTACGGTCATCTGCCTGCCTGTGGCTGAATTTTTCCCACGATTGTAACTCACAGCTCCAGGCTTTGGATATTTAGATGTAGAGTCACCCCGCCCTGTTCTCACCCTCATTCGGCAATGGAAGCATCCAAGTCCACCTCCCAAGTCCAGGCACAGTGGAGTCCAGGGAGAAGAGAACTACTCTCTGTCCACACGTGAAGAGCTGGTCTCTGGTGGGGAGCTGGTCTCCGGTGGGGAGAGCTGGTCTTTGGTGGGGAGCTGGTCTCTGGTGGGGAGCTGGTCTCCGGTGGGGAGAGCTGGTCTCTGGTGGGGAGAGCTGGTCTCTGGTGGGGAGCTGGTCTCTGGTGGGGAGCTGGTCTCTGGTGGGGAGCTGGTCTCCGGTGGGGAGAGCTGGTCTCTGGTGGGGAGCTGGTCTCTGGTGGGGAGCTGGTCTCTGGTGGGGAGCTGGTCTCTGGTGGGGAGCTGGTCTCCGGTGGGGAGAGCTGGTCTCTGGTGGGGAGCTGGTCTCCGGTGGGGAGAGCTGGTCTCCGGTGGGGAGAGCTGGTCTCTGGTGGGGAGCTGGTCTCTGGTGGAGAGCTGGTCTCTGGTGGGGAGCTGGTCTCCGGTGGGGAGAGCTGGTCTCCCCAAAGTATGCTCTGGAGCACTCTCACCTCCACCGTTCTGAACTGGGTCAGAAGCCCTCTGTTAAACAGATTCTGGAAGAAAGAGGGATGGTCCAGAGTGGGTTAGACAAATGGTGTTGATGGCATGCTGGAGAGACACACTCCTTCACACGCTGCCTGTGTTGACAGTCCAAACCACACCAGCTCTCCCAGAAAGAGGCGTGGTAAAAACATCAGCATGCTTTTCCGAAGACTCCATTCCTCTTTTAGTTCAGTGATAAACACATTCAGTGTTCAAAATATTTTATTTAATTGCCTTGTTAAATGCCAACTCTTTGTGCAACTATTTAAACGTAATAAAAAGAGTAAATCTAAAAAAAATCTCTTGGTAGATGTTAGTCATCACCATCTGCTCTGTCATCCGTAGGGAATGGATGAAGGCTTTCTTTGTTACAGATCTAGGCAGTTTATCCGCAGCCTAAATTGTGACCCAGCATAGGAGTAACCAGACTGCACAGATGAGTTTTCATTACCTTCTCACTCTTCAATAGAGCAAAGAGTTGAAGCTAAAAACATCTTGCCTGTTTTATTGTGATCGTAGCCTTTGGTTTTCAAAAATGAGAATAAGGACTAGTTTTAAGAGGGCTCATCTGTGCTGGTGGAGCAGAGTCACACTTTAAGTTGTGATTAGTAAAGAACCGAGCATGTCGAGCATAAACGGATCCCCGCTGTATCGCAGCAGCTGCTGTGCCCTCACCAATGTGTCTCTGTGTTACAGTGGGCCAGGGAGGCGTTGCGCTGGTCTCTGACATGTGTCCAGACCCTGGGACCCCGGAAAACGGCCGGAGAGCAGGCTCTGACTTCAGGTAGGGAATGAACGATCTGTTGTTTTCCAATGCACGTGCCCTCTCCACCTGCACTTTCCTTCAACTCTTCTACCCTTTGGATTTAAGGACACAGCTTCTCAAGTGCCACGCAGCAATGGTGTAGAATGCCATCATTCTGTGCTGAAACGTTGTAGATGCTACAGAATTGGCGCTCTTCAGAATACACTTGGTGTCCCAAAATACAGGACCAAATTTGTCTTCAAATATTTTTTTCTATTTTTCTTCCATACGTTTGATATTCCAATGCCTTCAATGATGCAAGTTAAAGGGACAAAACTTAATCACAGCCTCGTAATAATTCCATTAAATAATCTTAAAATGTTGAGTGTTGGGAGGAGTCAGTGCTGTTTGTTCAGAAAATCACGTGGGGTGATTTTTGCTGTGGCAATCTGGAGAAGGTGAAATCTGGAGAAGGTGATGATGATGATGATGATGATGATGATGATGATGATGATGATGATGTGTGTGTGTGTGTGTGTGTGTGTGTGTGTGTGTGTGTGTGTCTCAGTCAGTTTGAGAAGCTTCACATTTGTCTCCTTACATGATAGAAACGGTATAGGCTAGAAAGCAAAGAGTAAAGTGGGCAAGAAACAAGATTTCCCTGATCACAACCTTTCCGCTTTGGGGGAGACAGGTAAGAAGGAATAGGTGCAGAGAATTAAGGCCACCCATGTAAGAGCAAAGTGTGAGGCAGGTGGTGAGTCCTTTGGGGAGGCAGGAACATGGCATTCTGTGGAACTGGATGAGCAATGATGTTTTATTTGTAATGATGGGGAGATCGTAGAGTTACCTGTAGCATGGCTATAATTAATTTAGTAGTGGTATTCAATTTCCTATATAATAGGGTAGACCTGGAGTGAGTTACTATAGAAGAGGCTTAATTAGTGGGTAGTTCTGAAGGTCGAAGGTCGAGGAGGCTCATCTGGTGATCATCTCGACAGCACAGTCCTGCAGAGTTAGGGCCGAGACAAAGAGAGGCCAGCCCCTCGTGGGTGTGACTTCTACTCTTTGTCCATCTACTTAGAAACCCTCCAGACTCCACCATGGAAGCTGCTCCTGGCAACCTGTATTCATGGGATCACTTGCCCAAAGGTCCACCTCTGTGTCTTCCTTGGAGAATCTTCAGGCTGTTTACACATCTCCGCGTATGTAGCAACCAACAGTCCTGTAGCTCTTGGGAAATTACTTGGAAGGCTGTTCAAGTTTTACTGTTCGCTTTGTTTTATTCTAGATTTCATGGGACTTTATCCCTAGACAATTCTGTGGGTAAAGAGAGTTTGAAATTTTGCTTACCAAACGGAGAACCTTTTGTTTCTTTTCCTCACCTGAATGCACTGGTCAATGCATTGGTATTACAAGGTTGACCGGAAATGGTGGCTGGTCTCCTCTGCCTTCTCTCTCAGCTGAGGTTGACAGATTCGGGTTTGAATCTTGACTCTGGTATTGCTGAAGATGTTTTGATAGATGTTTTTGTGGGGTTGAGGTGTGCTCTTCTGTCTTTGAATGGTGGGGAGTAGATTCTTAGACATGAAATATTCCATTTGACCTTAAGAAGGATGTAGGTTTGATTGCTGCCTGGAGAGTTCCTTCATGCTGCGGTGCCTGTCTAGTCTGTGTGCTGGTGGTGGTGGTGCTGAAGTCATGTTGGTTTTCTGGTAGCTAGCTCCATGGGGAAGCGTGGATCAAAATTTTCTAGAAGTTTGCAGTCTTGCTCATTTCTCATTGCAGCTTTGTCAGCTTTTGCCTCATGCATCTTGAAGCTTTGTTGACAGGTATATGGAAATGATGGGTACTTCATGCCTTTTACTCAATGCATACCCTCTGTGTTTTGAAATAACCATCTTTACCTTAGATTTTGTTAGGAGTTACTGGGGTTCAGACCAGGGCCTTGTGTCTATGCCAGTGTTGTGCCACCAGGCCAAGCCCCAACCCCAGCTCTCGGCAGTTTTCTTTACTCTAAAATCAAACTTGTTACGATTACAGAGCATCTTATCAGAAACATCTGCAGGCACTGAGAAAATGAGAGGCTCATCAGGGTAGATACAATTTTCAGGAGTCTCACTTTTATCATTGAACTTTAATTTTGTTATTGGTTACTAATTAGGTCAGTTATTTCCTTTGAAGTAAAACTCATTTTTACTGAAAATGTATGACAAATACTCTAATCCTAGCTGTGATCGTTTGCCAGTCATTGGGTCATAATGAGGCGTTCGCTGGGGAAATAAAAGCAGCTAGCTTGACTCAGAGCTCAATTACACGGGTGTGCTCTCCCAACACTCCTTCAGACAGCAGTGTGCATTACAGATGCATTCTATCTCCAAGAGTTGAGATACATTAAAATAAATAGCTTTTCCTGCTCCATCAAGACCCTTCTTAAGTGGTTCTGGACTTTCCTCCCCGCACACCACACGCCAGAGAACAACATTATAAGCTGATCGGTTCTAAGACAGCCTTGCATTTGCAATGGTAACATGATAAAAAGCAGCACGGCATGTCATAGTTTGTCACATCCCCTAGCCTCAGTGCTCCAAACAGAGATCAGGTGTGATAATTTGTTACCAAATGAAAGGAGAAACTGAGGCACAAAACTGTATAATGATTTTGACTTACAGACGGTCTGAAAGTATCCGTCTCCAGACATTCATAGGCTGGCCAAGAAAACTATATCCGTAATGTGTGCAAGATATCTCAATCCAGCATTGCAGGAACTGGCCTTGTGTGGCATGTGTTTTTCATTAACTGAGCATTCACTGATGTCCACGGCATAGTAACTCGCAGCTGCGTTCCTGCAGAAGCTCCATCTTACAGTTGTGTCTGATGCGGAGATGACCAGATCCCCTGGATGAAATGATTCATGAGTGTACCTTGCGTTAAATGCACGACAGTTGTTGGTGTTTGTAACAGAATTAGGATATTCTCAATTGTTTAGTGCTGTGGGGACTTTTTCTTTATTGAAAAGGAGTTCAGCTCTTTCTAAATGCTTGTATTTGAATCTAATGGCTAGTATATTATACAAATGTATGACTTATATATTCGAGGTTGGTAGATGGACTCATTTGCAGTAATGGTGTATAATTCGGGTTTGTTTTTGCTCGGAAAGAGCTCGCTTCATTATGTTAGCAAAGTATTCCTCATTTGATTTTATTTGTGTTACCATTGCTTCTTTGTAGATTTTTTTTTTTTGCATAGGCAACCCAAATGCCAATTCCATCATTGTGTATAAATTATTCAAAGTGAAGGGAGCCCTCAACTCATGGCTCTGATATCTGAATTCGAGTCAGTTTGAGGATGTGTCTGACAGTACCCTTCATCATGGGCCAGCGGCTAAAAGGCAGTTTATTCATGGGAACTGAATATTTATGAATAAGATTGATGAATACTCAAATACTCATGTGTGGCAGGCAGCCGTGTGGCGCGGCAGAGCTACCAGTGGGTCTCCTGCCTAGGGTTGCTCATTTCCTATGCCAGAGGGATGTGTACCCGTGTCCAAGTACCTGCAATTATCCTCATTTTTATAAATAGAACTATTGAAATTCAGCATATTAACCTACTAAAGTTCTGCATCCACCCAGCATCAAACCTGAGATTTGAACCTCAGACTTCTATTGCTCTTCACTGTTTGTGACAAGAATAATTAATTATCATAACTCAGCTGCTCACACTTACTCCGCTGGACCACTGGGCAGGGCGAGAGGCTTGGTGAGGAGTCACCAGGGTGTGTGGGGCCTCGGTATCCCCACCGGCTCCCGGATGTCAGAGCGCAGGTCTGTGGAGGGCTGAGGCCCAGCCTTGCTGTCACTGAGCCCAGAGAGCTGCGGAGCTTGCTAGCCCAGCTGCAGGCTGCAGGGCCAGGGCTGCTGTAGGTCCTAATCCCAAACCCTCGCTGAGAAAAATCTCCAGCACACTCCATAGATGCTGAAGCCAGGTGGACATCTGGAAAGTGGGCATCAGACCTCTCCGTCTCCTTCCACAGTGGCTCCCCCAAAGTCCTGAGGGGATCCCCCTGAGACCAGCCCAGGCTGCCCCACCTGGTCCTAAGGACTCCTTGAGCATCCATGTTCACTCCTGTGCACCTGCCTCTCACTCCTAAGGTTTCTGTCTTCAGCGTGAGACATCCCAGAGTGACCGTAAACCCACAGAGTGACCTCACATCTACACAGTGACATCACAACTACACAGTGACCTCACATGTACACACAGTGACATCACAACTACACAGTGACCTCACATGTACACACAGTGACCTCATATCCACACACAGTGACCTCACATCCACACACAGTGACCTCATATCCACACACAGTGACCTCACATCCACACAGTGACCTCACATCCACACAGTGACCTCACATCTACACACAGTGACCTCACATGTACACACAGTGACCTCACATCTATACACAGTGACCTCACATCCACACAGTGACCTCACATCTACACACAGTGACCTCACATCTACACACAGTGACCTCACATCCACACAGTGACCTCACATCCACACAGTGACCTCATATCTACACACTGACCTCACATCTGAACACAGCCAGCTCACATCTACACAGTGACCTCACATCTACACAGTGATATCACAACCACACAGTGACCTCACATCTACACAGTGATATCACAACCACACAGTGACCTCACATCTATACACAGTGACCTCACATCCACACACAGTGATCTCACATCCACACAATGACCTCACATCTGAACAGTGACCTCAGATCTACACACAGTGACCTCAGATCCACACAGAGTGACCTCACATCTACACACAGTGACCTCACATCCACACACAGTGACCTCACATCCACACACAGTGACCTCACATCCCCACACAGTGACCTCAGCTCCACACACAGTGACCTCAGCTCCACACACAGTGACCTCACATGCACACACAGGGACCTCACATGCACACACAGTGACATCACATGCACACAGTGACCTCAGCTCCACACACAGTGACCTCACATGCACACACAGTGACCTCAGCTCCACACACAGTGACCTCACATGCACACACAGTGACCTCACATCCACACAGTGACCTCACATGCACACAGTGACCTCACATCCACACAGTGACCTCACATCCACACAGTGACCTCACATCCACACAGTGACATCACATCCACACACAGTGACCTCAGCTCCACACACAGTGACCTCAGCTCCACAAACAGTGACCTCAGCTCCACACACAGTGACCTCACATGTACACACAGTGACCTCACATCCACACAGTGACCTCACATGCACACAGTGACCTCACATCCACACAGTGACATCACATCCACACACAGTGACCTCAGCTCCACACACAGTGACCTCAGCTCCACACACAGTGACCTCACATGCACACAGTGACCTCACATGCACACACAGTGACATCACATCCACACAGTGACCTCACATGCACACACAGTGACCTCACATCCACACAGTGACCTCACATGCACACACAGTGACCTCACATGCACACAGTAACCTCACATCCACACAGTGACCTCACATGCACAGACAGTGACCTCACATCTACAAACAGTGACCTCACATCTACAAACAGTGACCTCACATCTACACACAGTGACATCACATCCACACACAGTGACCTCACATCCATACACAGTGACCTCACATCCCCACACAGTGACCTCAGCTCCACACACAGTGACCTCAGCTCCACATACAGTGACCTCACATGCACACACAGTGACCTCACATGCACACAAAGTGACATCACATGCACACACAGTGACCTCAGCTCCACACACAGTGACCTCAGCTCCACAAACAGTGACCTCAGCTCCACACACAGTGACCTCACATGCACACACAGTGACCTCACATCCACACAGTGACCTCACATCCACACAGTGACCTCACATCCACACAGTGACCTCACATCCACACAGTGACCTCACATCCACACAGTGACATCACATCCACACACAGTGACCTCAGCTCCACACACAGTGACCTCAGCTCCACACACAGTGACCTCACATGCACACACAGTGACCTCACATGCACACACAGTGACATCACATCCACACAGTGACCTCACATGCACAGACAGTGACCTCACATCTACACAGTGACCTCACATGCACACACAGTGACCTCACATGCACACAGTGACCTCACATGCACACACAGTGACATCACATCCACACAGTGACCTCACATGCACACACAGTGACCTCACATGCACACACAGTGACCTCACATCCACACAGTGACCTCACATGCACACAGTGACCTCACATGCACACACAGTGACCTCACATCCACACACAGTGACCTCACATGCACACACAGTGACCTCACATGCACACAGTGACCTCAGATCCACACAGAGTGACCTCACATCTACACACAGTGACCTCACATGCACACACAGTGACCTCACATCTACACACAGTGACCTCACATGCACACACAGTGACCTCACATGCACACAGAGTGACCTCACATCTACACACAGTGACCTCACATCCACACACAGTGACCTCACATGCACACACAGTGACCTCACATGCACAGACAGTGACATCACATCCACACAGTGACCTCACATGCACACACAGTGACATCACATGCACACAGTGACCTCACATGCACACACAGTGACCTCACATGCACAGACAGTGACCTCACATCCACAGTGACCTCACATCCACACACAGTGACCTCACATCCACACAGTGACCTCACATCCACACAGTGACCTCACATCCACACACAGTGACATCACATCCACACACAGTGACCTCACATCCATACCCAGTGACCTCACATCCACACACAATGACTCTATTTCCTCGCCATGACTCTGTGGAGTTCTCTGGGAGGTGAGGGCAGCCTCTCCCTGGTGAAGCAGAGGAGGAACTCAGAGAGGTGAAATGCAGGTGGCCGGCCCTGTCTCCTGTGCCGCTGTTCCTGCAGACAGGAATGTGGCAGGCAGGCTCTGCTCTGGCAAGTTCTCCACTGCCCTTCCCTGCCCTCTGTCTAATGATGATGCTCTCTTCCCCCTAAATCACGGGGCCAGGAAGGAGGAAACAAGCCTTATTGATTTTATTTGAGTGTACCCAACTCATGGTAGACGGTGTTTTCTTTTGGATTAGATTACACTGAAGCTAACAAGCCTGTCCCCAGGGACGTGTAATCATAGCCTCATTAGTACTGTGTTAAGCCCATTAAGTTAACCACCGCTGGTCAGAGAACGGATTAATGACCGTTTTAAAAAAATGACCTATGTTCAGGGGAGTTTGGAGGTGAGAGAAAGAAGGTTATAAGCTATGTAGGTCCCTGATGTCTGCCTGCCGCCACCCATGCTCACCTCTTTCCCCGGGTGTAGTAAAGGCTCAAGGATGTGGATGCCTTTTTCTGTTTTGTTTTCGAATGTCCTCTGTGACCTTACAGGTATGGAGCAGGATTGCTGGTTGCCAAACCAAAGGAGAGACTGAGGTTTGAGAGCACTCGCCAACCTGGAGGGAGCTTACTCGGGAGGTGGGGCACCAGGGCTCACCGTGCTTGCCGCTGCCTTGGGGCCTGGCGGTTCAGGAGCTGCCCTGGGGCCTGGCGGTTCAGGAGCTGCCCTGGGGCTTGGCGGTTCAGGCGCTCACCATGTGTGCGTGCCCCAGGGCCTGGCGGTTCAGGCGCTCACCATGTGTGCATGCCCCGGGGCCTGGCGGTTCAGGCAGCAGTGCAGTGCAGCCAGGCCTTACATGTCTTCTCAGTCGGTGGCCGGACAGTGGAAAGACAGCCCTGGCCCCACCCTTGGGCTCCCGTTTTATTTTCCCTTGGTTTATTTTTCTCTCTTCCTAATTCATTGTCATGGAAAAGTCAATTACACCAACCACGTTGGAGCTGAGCAGTGGCTGAAACCTTGAGCACCTCTGCATGTCCACGATTGTTCCCACGCAGGTGTTACCCATCCTCCCAACAGCCCTGGGAGACCTGGAGTTACACAGTGACCCACGCCTCAGCCTCTCCTCCTCCTGAGCCCTGACTCCCCACCACACACCTCATAGCTACAGCAATGCTATCTTCAGGAGGACGTCACAGATCGATCTGCCCGCCCTCTCCTCTCTCTCTCTCTGTCTCTCTCTTTCTCTCTGTCTCTGTCTCTCTCTCTCTCTCTCTCCCTCCACCTTTTCTCTTCCTCTCTCCCTCCCTCCTCCCCTCTCCTTCCTTCCCTCTGTAACATGCAATGTAGTCTTTGGCTTACAGAGTGCATTCCGTAGTTCTTTGCTAAAGCATTCATTTTAACTTGTAAGTAAGGAATCCCTTCAGATCGTATAAGGCACTGGCAGATGTTGTTTGGAGATTTACAGATCAGGAGTGTGGGTCTCTAGTTAGGAATTCCATGGGCACCAGAGGCACTGGGCCGGGGCTTTCTATACACTGGTTCCATCCATGGTTGCTCAGCTTAATCATGGCAACAAGTAAGAAACTGCTGCACAGTTATTAAGAAACATTGGTTATTCCGCCTGCTCTCTCCCACCAATTAAAAAATCAATTTGCTAGCAAAAGAAACTCTCCAAGGTTAGAATTAAGATCATATTTGAGGTTTTATTGAAATGCAAAGACATACTGAAAGCTGTAAGACATTCTAGGGATACCCAAGGTACCTCATGATGGAAAATGTCTCCTCTCTCTTTTGTGATCTCTTTGTGTTTGGTGTTCTGATGCACAAGTCAAAGACCTAGGCATGTTATTTCCTGAAATTCCAGCAGTATCAAATCTTCCAAACCACCACTTCCTTCTGTGGATTGTTTCCCTCCCACTCAGCAGTGGGAATGAACAGCTGTGAGGGAGAAAGAGGCCAGGCTGGGCCTTGCAGGTCAGCATAGGTGAGCCCAGGTCTCTGCGGACCCCCCAGCCTCTCACACGAGTCTGCGTCCTTGCCCCTGGACATGCTCCCTGAGTCTTCGGAACTTGAAAATAATTGGGGAGATGCCGCCTTTCTGTGTGCTCACCTGAAGGCAGAGGGGTGGCCTTCCCTGGACTCTGTTGCTAAGGAACTGAGCTGCCCTATGAAAAGCACTTGCCAATGGTTACTGCTCATTCCAGGAGCGGAGTCTGTATCTTTAAGAACTGCTTAAGAAAATGCCACAGCCAATATTGCCGCATTTGCACCATCCCTGCGACAAAGGCTCAGCTGAGTGGCCCGTTCCTCGTTTTCCAGCAGAAGCTGCCCCCAGCGAAGAGTTCCCCGTAGGACTCAAGGAGCATTAGCTCACTCCTTCCCAGAATTTTCAGTATCTTTATTAGTGACGGCTTTCCTTCATCAAAATGAAGTCGCCATTGAAATACTTTACTGGGAAAGTAGATCACGATTTAAGCATATATTAATTTACTCGCTTCAAAATTGCCAAAGACAATTGACAAAATAATTAGCCCACTTTCTCTCAGAGTCATCAGGAATGGCACTTTGGACCATGGATATTGATGCTCTTAGAAATGACCTTCTGCGACGTGGATTGTTTCTTTATGTCTTAGTTCTTGTCTGTAGAGAGGTGCTGAAAAGAGAAGACATGGCTATTTCTGTTATTCCTGTGCTGCGTTCTGCGGCATGAGGTCTTAGCCATGTTGTATCTGCTAACTCTACCTCAGAGTTAGACAGGGATAGGTGGGCCAGCTCCGGGGCCAAAGGCAGCAAGCCTCCACCCATGCTAGGCCCCAGACTTGCAGCTCTAAGGGTGAGTAAAGCTGCGGACATTAAAGTCAGCCAGCGTTGCTTTGAGCTCAGTCCCACCCTGCCCCAATTCCGTGAGACCTCGTCCGGATCTCAGATCATGCGTCTTGTGTTCCTCTCTGCCTCCATCGGAGGTGTGTGGAGGAGGAGCGCCAAGCGCGCTCTGACGTGCTCTACGCGGGACCTGGACAGTGTTTCCTGGCTGTTTCTCAGCCTCCATGTTAGACGCGCTCCGATTGCCCAACGACTGTGGTTTAATTAGTCACGAGTATTTGTGGCTTGTAAAACACAATAGCAAAATACATACAAAAGTTATGATCTTCATTTTCTCATTGTTTTGAGACACTCGCGTTGTCGCTTGGGCAGGACTGAAGCTGCTCTTTTTCTCTGCGTGGCTCAGCTTCCCGAGTGCCAGCATTACATGCGGGTGGCACCAGGCTTGGCCTCCATCTTTATTTTTAAGAGTTCAGTGCAGGATTATACAACCAGCACCATCATCCACCCACAGAACCCTTTCCATCTTGCAGCTATGCGCCATAAAGCATTGACTTTACATGTGTACATATGCGCGCGCGCACACACACACACACACACACACACACACACACACACACACATATGCGGGCACACACACCTAGCAGCCATTCTGGTAGCCATTCACCCTTCAGTCTCTGAGGATGTGAATACCAACCACAGGGACTCCACACTTGCTTGCTAGAGGCTTGTCACAGTTCTGCCACGTGGCTGAGCTGCACAGCTACCAGACTGCCCAGTTCAGGTCAGTCGTGGTAAGAGATACGAAACAGTGACTGTTGAAATACTACATTGGAGAGTTTGCATTTGGAACAGGTGTTTGATATCATCAAGACAGTCTGTTGAAGTGTGTAAAAACCTCATCTTTAGAAGATCCTTCTGGAATCTTCTGTTTACCACAACTTCTGTCCATCCACACAAGCCTGAAATAATCTGATTTCCCACTCAAAATACTATCCATTCACAATCTCCATCTTATAACATTCCAGGAGATGTGGCAAAGGAGCAAGGCAACTGAGTAGCTCCCAGGATGCAGTGGAGTAGAGCAAGTGGACCTCTAGAAAGGGGAGCACAGAGACACTGAGCATTCTAAAATGTGGCCTGTTATCCAGCCTTCCATCAGAGGTCGTGTAGCCTGTTATGGACCTTTCCATCAGGAGGTCCTGTGACCTGTTATCCAGCCTTCTGTCAGGAGGTTGTGTAGCCTGTTATGGAGCTTTCCATCGGGAGGTGGTGTGGCCTGTTATGGAGCCTTCTGTCAGGAGGTCCTGTGGCCTGTTATGGAGCCTTCTGTCAGGAGGTCCTGTGGCCTGTTATGGAGCCTTCTGTCAGGAGGTCCTGTGGCCTGTTATGGAGCTTTCCATCAGGAGGTCTTGGAGAAGGATCTGTGGGAACGTCTCACCATGTGATTTGTAGACACCGGAATGCAGCTCAACAGGGACTCACATTCAGCTCTGCACGTTGTTGTGGACCCTTTTCTGCTTCTCTTCTAATCACAGGGCAAGTCATCTATTTAACTGGTAAAGTACTGGTTTTGCAAACTTGGGAAGAATAGTATAGAATGAATGTGCCAGGGTCGAGACCGAGGGGAGTGTGGTGCATCACTTTATTAAATCAGCGTCCTTTGGTTAGAGTTAGGCAGTTTAAGATTTTATTGTTCAGAATGACCCATCACTTACATAAGATAGAGAAGAAACTGAAATAACAAGTTGACATGGGGCAAAGGATGAGAGAATCGGTGGATAGAAGTGGTTCTCGGCGTTAGCGTCCAGCGGAAGCTACCTTCCTTGGCTGTAGGACATTGCAGTGGGGTAAGAGGAACACAGATCAGATGTCCCCCAGCAGTGTTTTACTCGAGACTGTGAATCCCAGGTAAACCTGGGCTTCCATTCAGTGTTGATCATCCCTAGTAGCTCTTTTGAAAATCAATTAATGATCACCAAGCCTCTTCCCATTCTCCCACAGAACAGCAGAAGGTCTCCCTACAATCCAGCACTCACCTGAGCTGCATGGCTGTCCCCTGCATTTAGTGCCAAGTGGATGCATACATAGACACCAAGAGATGCGTACGTTTTTATGTAAAAATACCCTCTCCAAACATCACACTTACACATTCATAATTGGTATTGAAAGTGAGTACTTAAAACATCCTGTGTCTTCAGCAAAAAGGAGAAATACATCCCATTCTGCTGTGTCCAGTCTCAGGCAACAGCAGCTATGAGCAATGGCGCAGGACTGATGTCTCTAGCACTGAGTTCAACCAGGATTTGTCATAATGAAATGGACACTTCTTACCCTGGACAGTAAGACATGTAAAAATCATGGAGAATCTTCGCTTCTCTAAAACTGTTTTCATGAGGGGGATGAGGTCTGTGTGCTAGGTGAGAAGTGTTGGTGTACAGAGTGTCGATGTACATGTGTGTGTGTGTGTGTGTGTGTGTGTGTGTGTGCACACATCCCTGCCTCACTTGCCTGCAGGACTTCTGTTCTAGAATAGCTCAGGTTAAGGCTGGATTTCTAAATTCATATGTGTCGTTGGTCGGCTGTGAAATGTGTTTTCCCCTGTTCCTTGGTTATGACCCCAAGACTGCGACACAAAGCGGGATCCACAGACTTCCTGTGGAGCCGGGTCTGAGAGGAGGAAGTGGAGGACAGGGCTGGGGATGAGGATGGGGTCAGAGCTGTGGAAGCCAGCGCCGCCTTGCCCCTCCCCCACACAGCAGAAACTCAGGAGGCTGGGCGCTAGTGCCAGGTCCCTCTGCTGTACGGTATTGGCGGGCCTAGACGCCATGCTGGGCTGCGCTTCCCTCACTGCGATTCGCGAGGACTCTCCTGCAGTCTACTCACGCAGCCTCTGTGGAAGAGGACAGCTCAGGGCTCCTGGGCGAAGGCCTGTGCCCGGGCGCCCTTTGTACTTGCTAGATGTTGACGGATTTGTAATCCTTACCAGAACCTGCACTGGAAAGTCTCCATGGATGGGAAGACACGGCCCCAAAGATGAGACTGAGGCTGTGTGAAACGCCACCGAGCCCGTGGTCCTCAGACGACGTGCGTCTGGGGGAACCAGAATGCCGGGTGCTAGGAGGCCTCTGGCACTCTCCATTCTCACATGATGTGCAGTCTTCAGCCCATTGTTATCATGGTGATAATGTTCAGACTCCTCTCAGGCCCGAAGGCAATTGGGCATAGCAGAAAATGAGCCCGGTAGAGACCCCTATTTTATGTGACCTTTAGACATGGTGTTGTTCGCAAGAGTGTGTCCAGACCTGGACAGCAGCAGGAAACGAGGCACCGTTGGGTCAGGGACAAGGAGGACGTCGCAAGGGACTTAGCTGACGACCAGGGGTTTTCGATCTGTGGCCAGTGCTCAGACCATCGTGCCTAGAAAACTGGGTGAATTTTTTGATGAGTGTCCCGAGTGTGTGAGGGGTGGGGGGAGGAGGAGGGGAGAAGGAGGAGGGGGGAGCCTGCCATTGTCCACAGGCGGGGCTTGTGTGTCCTGCAAAGAGAAAGAACTACTTCCTTAGAGGTCCTCAGAGTCACACCCACAGGGGGCATGGGGGGGTTGCAGTTTTCCCCAGGGGGATAAGAAGATGTTGCGGATCCCCCCGCTTGCCCCCGCTCCCCCACGGTGGTAATGGTGGCCAGCCCGCCAGCCACTGGAGGAAGTCATGGTGACTTCCTTTGGCCACTAAGTGTGGTTGAAGTTTCCAGGCTTGGAGCATGTGTTTGCAGATGCAGCTCTGAGCCAAAGCAAGGGTTCACTGGGCCATCTGCGCCAATGGATGGCTGGGTGCTGAGACAAAGGAGTTCCTTCTCCCCCGTGCGATGCGTGCTGAAATGTAACCCCGCCGGCCTTCTTTCAGAGGTGATGGTGGATGTTCGTGTCGGCAGGTGGATCCTGCTACTTGGCCTTCCCACCCTGGCTTGTGTACCAATCTTTCCCCACACTCTGTGCGGTTGCCGCGCAGCTCACCCGTGCTTGGGCGACAGGTTAAGTCCGTGGGCTGGCCCCGCACACACTCCCGCGGTGTGTCCTCACATGTGTTCTGATCGTGTAGCGTGGTCAGATGCGCGTTGCTGGTTTCTTTTTGAAGAAGACGTGTGTGTGTGTGTGTAACGCATGTCGTTTCTGTTTGTGGTGATGCAGGGTCGGCGCAAGCGTACACTTCTCCTGCGAGGACAATTACGTGCTCCAGGGACCCAAGAGCCTGACCTGCCAGAGAGTCACGGAGACCTTGGCAGCCTGGAGCGACCACCGGCCCACCTGCCGAGGTAAGCTGGCAGCGGGCGGCGCGCCCCCCGCGGGCCGGGAAGCCTACTGAATTCCACAGGAGATGGGAGCGTAAAGCCTCCACGTGCACACAGAGGAACCTGGTCGTTTGTTTTGCTGTTTGTTTGTTTTAATGATGAAAGCATTGGAGTTTTGTTTCTCCTCGCTTTCCGAACTGCACGGCGGTGTGCTCAGACCGTGTGCTGCTGTCTGCAGTCACCGTCCTGTGAAGTCCCACGTGGGCACCCACGTCTCTCTATCTGTAACCGGCGCCCGCTGACCAGCCCTCCCCATCCCCTTCACCTCCTGCTCTTCCTACTTAGGGTTATTGCGCTCCAGACATCTTAGTGTTCCAATTACAAGTGGCACGGATCAAGCCATGTTTATCTTGGTCTGGCTGATGTCACGTAACGTCCATTGCTGTCTGTGATGTGACAGATGACAGGGAACCCCCTCCGGCCACGGCGGGGTGCTTGCCCGTCCATCCCACGTTTCCTGGGCAGCGCAGCTCCTTGGGAGTGGTGTGGCGTGCTGTGGTGATCGCAGCAACCCCTTACCCCGCCGGGGGATGGAGGGAGTCCAGCTCTGTTTGCAGACCCTGCACACCGAGGCCCACACTGGTGCCTTCCTTGTGCACAGCCCCTTTCTCCACAGGCCAGGAGGGGTCTGTGCGCTTTTACCCACGCTCGGGTCTAGTCCATCACATTCTGGAAGGGAACGCCTCTCTTGAGTTCCTTTGGAACTCAAGGCGCATGGCAGTCTTGCCTCAGATTCGCGGGTGCAGGTGTCACTTCGTGGGTGCCTCTGGCTGCGGGAGCTGCTTCCCTTTGATGCCCCACAGCTCCTGCCAGCCCTGCAGCTTGTTCAGGATCCCATCTTCCCGGGCCCTAGCCGCGTTCGTCGGGGAGCGGTGGATTTCACCGCTAAAGACACACCTGTCCCTCCACGGAGATCATCTTTTGAAAATACTAAGCTGCACCATCCTTGTCTGTTTTAACGTATGGCTTTTAGTCATAATGGTCATTTCACACACAATTGCAAGGTCACTGGAAGGTGAGATGTTTCTTCAGATTCTGTGGTCATAAAAAAATCCCATTGTGACCCAAAAATTCTGAATATGCTTACTTCAGTAGTCTGTGTTCTGGGGCACGCAACCAGCCATTGTGTTCCTTTATTCGGTTGGCTGATGGCGTCATAGGTGCGGGCGTTTGGCGGTGGAGTTTCGATGCGTGTTCACCTGCGTATAGTCAGTCGGGGAGGCGGACCCAGGAAATCGTCCCGTCCTCAGCCTCCTCCGATGCCAGAGACCCCTGGGACCACTCCCGAGCGGACTGTATTCTGTGCTCTGCTTCCAGGCTTTCCTTTGCCCCATCCTTCTGTGGTCCATTTCTTTGTGACACTGCATTCACAGTCCTCTTCCGTATCTCGTTTGGAAGTAGGCCGTATATTTCCATGGTAGACAGTCACGACCGTGCCTATGGCAGCAGACTTCTTCCCACAGGCAGCTGAGAGCCTGCTGCCCAGCTGTCCCCACTCCCCAGCTGTCCCCACTGCCCAGCTGTCCCCACTGCCCAGCTGTCCCCACTCCCCAGCTGTCCCCTACTCCCCAGCTGTCCCCATTGCCCAGCTGTCCCCCACTGCCCAGCTGTCCCCACTCCCCAGCTGTCCCCACTCCCTGCTGTCCCCACTCCCCAGTCGTCCCCCACTGCCCAGCTGTCCCCACTCCCCAGCTGTCCCCACTGCCCAGCTGTCCCCACTCCCCAGCTGTCCCCACTGCCTGCTGTCCCCACTGCCCAGCTGTCCCCACTGCCCGGCTGTCCCCACTCCCCAGCTGTCCCCACTGCCTGCTGTCCCCACTCCCCAGCTGTCCCCACTCCCCAGCTGTCCCCACTCCCCAGCTGTCCCCACTGCCTGCTGTCCCCACTGCCCAGCTGCCCCACTGCCCAGCTGTCCCCACTGCCCAGCTGTCCCCACTCCCCAGCTGTCCCCACTGCCTGCTGTCCCCACTGCCCAGCTGTCCCCACTGCCCAGCTGTCCCCACTCCCCAGCTGTCCCCACTCCCCAGCTGTCCCCACTGCCCAGCTGTCCCCACTCCCCAGCTGTCCCCACTCCCCAGCTGTCCCCACTGCCTGCTGTCCCCACTGCCTGCTGTCCCCACTGCCCAGCTGTCCCCACTCCCCAGCTGTCCCCACTGCCCAGCTGTGCCCACTCCCTGCTGTCCCCACTCCCCAGTCGTCCCCCACTGCCCAGCTGTCCCCACTCCCCAGCTGTCCCCACTGCCTGCTGTCCCCACTCCCCAGCTGTCCCCACTCCCCAGCTGTCCCCACTCCCCAGGTGTCCCCACTGCCTGCTGTCCCCACTGCCTGCTGTCCCCACTGCCCAGCTGTCCCCACTGCCCAGCTGTCCCCACTGCCCAGCTGTCCCCACTGCCCAGCTGTCCCCACTCCCCAGCTGTCCCCACTCCCCAGCTGTCCCCACTGCCTGCTGTCCCCACTGCCCAGCCATCCCCCACTCCCCAGCTGTCCCCACTGCCTGCTATCCCCACTGCCCAGCTGTCCCCACTGCCCAGCTGTCCCCACTCCCCAGCTGTCCCCACTTCCCAGCTGTCCCCACTCCCCAGCTGTCCCCACTCCCCAGCTGTCCCCACTGCCTGCTGTCCCCAATGCCCAGCTGTCCCCACTGCCCAGCTGTCCCCACTGCCCAGCTGTCCCCACTCCCCAGCTGTCCCCACTGCCTGCTGTCCCCACTGCCCAGCTGTCCCCACTGCCCAGCTGTCCCCACTACCCAGCTGTCCCCACTCCCCAGCTGTCCCCACTGCCCAGCTGTCCCCACTCCCCAGCTGTCCCCACTCCCCAGCTGTCCCCACTGCCTGCTGTCCCCACTGCCTGCTGTCCCCACTGCCCAGCTGTCCCCACTCCCCAGCTGTACCCACTGCCCAGCTGTGCCCACTCCCTGCTGTCCCCACTCCCCAGTCGTCCCCCACTGCCCAGCTGTGCCCACTCCCCAGCTGTCCCCACTGCCTGCTGTCCCCACTCCCCAGCTGTCCCCACTCCCCAGCTGTCCCCACTTCCCAGCTGTCCCCACTGCCTGCTGTCCCCACTGCCTGCTGTCCCCACTGCCCAGCTGTCCCCACTGCCCAGCTGTCCCCACTCCCCAGCTGTCCCCACTCCCCAGCTGTCCCCACTGCCTGCTGTCCCCACTGCCCAGCCATCCCCCACTCCCCAGCTGTCCCCACTGCCTGCTGTCCCCACTGCCCAGCTGTCCCCACTGCCCAGCTGTCCCCACTGCCCAGCTGTCCCCACTCCCCAGCTGTCCCCACTTCCTGCTGTCCCCACTGCCTGCTGTCCCCACTGCCCAGCTGTCCCCACTGCCCAGCTGTCCCCACTGCCCAGCTGTCCCCACTCTCCAGCTGTCCCCACTCTCCAGCTGTCCCCACTGCCCAGCTGTCCCCACTCCCCAGCTGTCCCCACTCCCCAGCTGTCCCCACTGCCTGCTGTCCCCACTGCCTGCTGTCCCCACTGCCCAGCTGTCCCCACTCCCCAGCTGTCCCCACTGCCCAGCTGTGCCCACTCCCTGCTGTCCCCACTCCCCAGCTTTCCCCCACTGCCCAGCTGTCCCCACTGCCCAGCTGTCCCCACTCCCCAGCTGTCCCCACTCCCCAGCTGTCCCCCACTGCCCAGCTGTCCCCACTGCCCAGCTGTCCCCACTGCCCAGCTGTCCCCACTCCCCAGCTGTCCCCACTGCCTGCTGTCCCCACTCCCCAGCTGTCCCCACTCCCCAGCTGTCCCCACTCCCCAGCTGTCCCCACTCCCCAGCTGTCCCCCACTTCCCAGCTGTCCCCACAGCCCAGCTGTCCCCACTGCCTGCTGTCCCCACTCCCCAGCTGTCCCCCACTGCCCAGCTGTCCCCACTGCCCAGCTGTCCCCACTGCCCAGCCGTCCCCACTCCCCAGCCGTCCCCACTGCCCAGCCGTCCCCACTACCCAGCTGTCCCCACTCCCCAGCTGTCCCCACTCCCCAGCTGTCCCCCACTGCCCAGCTGTCCCCACTGCCCAGCTATCCCCACTCCCCAGCTGTCCCCACTCCCCAGCTGTCCCCCACTTCCCAGCTGTCCCCACTGCCCAGCTGTCCCCACTGCCTGCTGTCCCCACTCCCCAGCTGTCCCCCACTGCCCAGCTGTCCCCACTGCCCAGCTGTCCCCACTCCCCAGCTGTCCCCACTCCCCAGCTGTCCCCCACTCCCCAGCTGTCCCCACTCCCTGCTGTCCCCACTCCCCAGCTGTCCCCACTCCCCAGCTGTCCCCACTGCCCAGCTGTCTCCACTCCCCAGCTGTCCCCACTCCCCAGCTGTCCCCCACTGCCCAGCTGTCCCCACTGCCCAGCCGTCCCCCACTGCCCAGCTGTCCCCACTCCCCAGCTGTCCCCCACTGCCCAGCTGTCCCCACTGCACAGCTGTCCCCACTCCCCAGCTGTCCCCACTCCCCAGCTGTCCCCCACTCCCCGCTGTCCCCACTCCCCAGCTGTCCCCACTCCCTGCTGTCCCCACTCCCCAGCCATCCCCCACTTCCCAGCTGTCCCCACTGCCCAGCCGTCCCCCACTGCCCAGCTGTCCCCACTGCCCAGCTGTCCCCACTCCCCAGCTGTCCCCACTGCCCAGCTGTCCCCACTCCCCAGCTGTCCCCACTGCCTGGCTGCCCAGCTGCTGGGCTGTCCCCCACTGCCTGGCTGTCCCCCACTGCCCGGCTGTCCCCCACTCCCCAGCTGTCCCCACTCCCCAGCTGTCCCCCACTGCCTGGCTGCCCAGCTGCTGGGCTGTCCCCCACTGCCTGGCTGTCCCCCACTGCCCGGCTGTCCCCCACTCCCCAGCTGTCCCCACTCCCCAGCTGTCCCCCACTGCCCGGCTGTCCCCACTGCCTGCTGTCCCCACTCCCCAGCTGTCCCCACTCCCCAGCTGTCCCCACTGCCCAGCTGTCCCCACTGCCCAACTGTCCCCACTGCCCAGCT